TTAAAAGTCCAATGCTGTAATAAGTAGCATAGGCGTTGTGAAGGGAGTTGTGCCCTTGGTGTGTTCATCGAAGAGGGGCAAGAATCGCTTCAACACATTGGCAAAGCTACCTCCCAACCGAGCTATGAGTTAGTGCAGACCCCTGGACAGTGCCTGATGAAGAAGTCCCGACACCGTTCGTGTGATGGCACCATTGTCATTTACCAATGCCAACACCACACCAGCACCACCATCACCTTGGCTGCAATTACACTTGCAGCTGCAATTTAGGTGGATTGAATCGCCACAATCCGAAGCACCAAGATCAAAGCAAGGGAGCTTAAGAAAACAAACTTTTGTTATGGTTACGTTCCACGACCTTATCACAGGTCCGATTGCCAGGTTATTCTCGACACACCCTACTGTCAGGTTGTCATCAAAGTAACTCACGCCCGTAAATCGTGATAAATCAAATGGGAATGCAATCATCCTCTCCGTGATTGGATTATTGCACTCCCAAGCACACACGACAAAGTATATTGCTCAAACGTGATTCAAACATGATTCTTGTTATTCACAAATGTGGGCCACTATCTCGATTGCAAGGTGATCCGTTCATAGCACTTCTGTCTACAGCACACCTATCCGGAACTTCTACAATTGTGTCCAAACTTGGCGTGTGCTTTCTGAAGTCTACAGAGATTTGTTAGTCTTAACAAAAGTGTAAAACTACCAGACACGTGAGCTGCAGGCGTAACTGGTAGAGCAGTTTCACAATTTGGCTTGGTGACCGTAAGGTCTGATACTCGATACTTTGTATTAGATCTAGTAAATAGGAAATGCAAGGGATAGTGATAGGGCAAGAATCGCATTGTAAATCACGCATTTGAAATAAACTCTGCATGCGTATACATGAAGTGTCGTCACTGTATTTATGGATGGATTCCAAGTCGGTTCCTAACTGACCGGTTGCAGTGGCTTTAATTTATTTGAACTTTTAAATCGTTTTGAAATTGCAGCACCGGTAAATGAAGTGAGAAATGGGTGAGTGGTGAGGTGCATCACTCACCAATCAACGCATCAACTTTCTCTGGGTACGCACCAATCAAAGTTATTGCTTTTACTCGCACATAGCCTTCACCCTACTCTCCTCAGTGAGTGCTCCTTATCACTATGACTTGCAGCATTGCGTTCTTGAAGAGATGAGGCCTATATGACAGGGCAACAATTCTACGGAGAGGACAAAACCAGAACTTACTCGTTAACACTCTTCTGCACTTGCCAAAGCACTCCTTCACCCTACCATGTGGGGTTGATGTCCATTGATTGGTGTTATGGATACCGTGGAATGTTTTACTGAGTGGTTGCATCTCCGAATGCAAGAATTTTCACGTGTCAATTAAAAGTCACTGATGTTTAAAGAAGAGATGTCATTCAATGCCTTTTGACAGAGGGCGAGGTCCGCGTAATTAAGTATGTGTCGAAGCATCTTGCGTTTTCCTGCAACCAGAGTTTATGGTATATGGCCTCATGATTTTCAATTTCCTCCCCATTCGACAGTAGTTACCTGATCTAAGCGGACTCGGAGAGAGAGGTAGAGTCGTGGCTGAAGCAGTTGAGTGGGGCGTTGGAGGTCCATCAACGCTGGATGCGTGAGCACTTTGCTCGCTTGGTGCGGCTTGACTTGGGTCTTGCCATCATCCAACCCGTGGCTGCCAGCGTCACTACTCGACTCAAGCATCGTTCAGCCTTAGGCGGTGTCAAAGCCAGTTAATCAACTCAATTCAATTTACAACGGGGATATAACTATCTGTACAGTGAGCTTAACGAGGTGCATTTTCTCCGTTCAAATCTATATCCTCCTGCTTCCAAGCAAAGTTGATGTCTGCCATCCACTGATTTACGCTTCTTTTCCACTAGGCGAATTCCCACCTCCCACTAGTTTGTCTTTACCTGACCCACATCAAATTCATCCCTTGTAAATTTGTTTTGTCTTTTTGAAATCA